CCACTCCCCCCCCCCGCACCCCCTAACAACTTAATTCATCTGGTGGGTAACATTTGTATATACTGTAGTCGACTTGGATTGCTTCTGTATTCTGTTCTTGTACCGCCCCGTCATTTAGAAGTTGTAGAGACAAGCAAAAAGGGAATTGTGGCTGGAATTGGATGTAGAGAGACTGCCTAAACAAATTTAACTTAATACTTTTATTGTATATAATCCCTCGCGAGAGTGAGCAATTTAATAGTGTTTGGAACTATAACATTAAATACCGTGTAAAACACACATCCAGGAAAAACAGTGTGTAATTTAACTACTCTGAGCATATAGCAAGAGGAGGAATAGCAGTTTGGGGGGGGGAAATCTAGAGGCAGGATTTCAGACTAAACAAATACGGTGAAACCTCTCCTTGAGTGCGCCGACTTTCATGAGATGTAGCTAATACGAACTGATGACGAAGGAGAGGACTGGCGCGTTTGTGTACCGAGCAAAGAGTTTCTGTTTTGCCGAGTTTTATAGCTTTGGGATTATGTTGTTGGATTAGTGTAGTGTTTCCAACCGTGCATTCCTTAAAAGTTGCAGAAGCCCTAACTAGTCTCATAATTAAAGCACAAAAGCCATCCTGCTTTGTCAGAGGTCGTTCCCCCTCACTTTTTCAAAGGCCTCTTCACATTTCCAATCGTCTTCGGTTACCAAAGCTGTCTGTACCTTCAGTATTGTTTGCAGGAGCTTATAACAGAGCTGCTAAACTTTCCCATATGACTTCTTGTTTTTGCTCAAAACAATAAAAAAAAAAAAAGGGAGCTTGTCTTCTGTACAGCTGAGATGAAATCGCTATTATTGCCAAAAATATCCTGCCACCCAAAAAATGCGAATGCAGAATCAGGTCATGTTTGCTTAGTGGATTTGCTTTTTTTTTTTTTTTTCTTGTTTTGAAGTGTTGTGTTTTTGGTTGGTATTGCATGTCTTTTCAGGTGCAGAGCAAATGCTGAAACTTAGGTAGGCTTCCACTATTACAGCAAAACCGCTTTACAGGGAGAGGTCGACATATTTTCTCTAGGTTTATTCCTGTTTGTAGTCGGTTCTCACTAGGGCACTGCAATTTCTAAAGGAGTATGTGGTGTGTGCGTGTGATTGCTGTTGGATTTTTTTTGTGGGTAGTCTTAGAACTGGATGGATGTGTTGCACAAGACTGGAGAACATTACTTGCCGTAAAGGTGAGGTTTAATGTGAGAGTTGTCATAATGTACTATAATTTATCTCGCAAATAATCACCTGTGTTGACCTGTTTTTCCCAAATTAGCTGCTGAGTTAAGGCCGTCGAATGCAGCCGTTTGCATATCCCAGTTGAGTAGTAAATGTTCAGTGTTAAAATGCAGACTGTACCTCAGTCAAACTGGGTAGGTGATGCTTGGGTCCCTGGAGGTTAATGGCATTGAATGAGAGGTCTCAATCCTTAGGCATAAGGCTCTATTTTTTTCCCACCCCTGCAGCATTTCATCTGCCTGTTGCATCTAGGATCATTTGATTTTTTTGTTTTGTTTTCAAACGCAAGTTTTTGTGTTCGGACGTGACTGCTGAAACCAAAGAGAAAGGTGGGAGGGAATGGCTTGCGATGTTCCCTGCATAAAGAGTGTATCCCTCAAGCCCTCTTCCTGCAGGAAGCCTTTTGACCTGCCTCAAAACCTTCGGAGGCGGCGTGCTTAACTGTTTAAAGAGCACGTTACTGTTTTTTTTTACGTCCTGCCACAGCAGCGCTGGGATAGGGGAACATTTGGACAACAAGCCACCCTTATCAGGTCATGTGCTCGGTGGCCTGAGGTTTATCTTTGATTATTTTTGTGCACGCAATGATTTTATTTAAAAAAAAAAAAGTTTTTCCTCCCTTTGTGACTCACCAGCGAAACTCATTTTTAGCAGTGGCTGGTTGCTGTCTCTTGAACTATTTCCCGATTGAGCGCTTTCCTTTTGGCTTCCTTGGCTGTGTCTTCAGGACTTGACACCTCTGTGACGATGCGAATCGGTTCCTGAGCAAGAAGAGGCAGGCTGCCGCAGCAGAAAATGTTCCCTTTTCTTTTTTAGAATGACCTTAGCACAAAATGCTCAGGAACCGCCTCCGGTAGATCACGCTCTGCTGTGTAATTCAACTCTTCTTGTGAAGTCCAGGGCTTCGTGCAACTGTTGTTTTAGGAAATTTGCTGCAGGGGTTTAACTTGTTGAGACTCTGGTTTATGGCTGATAGGAGGCGGGAGAGAATATACATACACTGCCATACAGCTGCTGTCGCTTAATAAAAATCTGACCAATTTCCAACTTCTGAAAGGGCCTTCACAGTCGCGGCGCATTTATAAACCCTCTAAACTTAACATCTTTAAAAAGCAGCAGTGATACCGTCCACATGGGAGAGCAAAGAGGGAAGGTGGTTGCACTCCCCCTTCTAATAGGGAGAACTGTTTATCAATTTGATTCACATTTTATATATGTGTCTACACACCCACACGATGCACGTGCACAGACGCACACCCCACTTTACCTTCTATGTGGGAAGTGTCAAGATTGAGGGATCACTGTCAAACTTACCTTGTTTTTTTTTTTCATTGTTTTCAGCTGCCCAGATAATTATTTAATTAACATTTAAAAAAAAAAAGGTGCTTCACGCTCCTAAGTGTAGCTCTACCATCACACATGAATATGCAGGTGACTTGTTGCTTTATGGTTTAGATGATGCACTGCGCTGTATAAAGTTTCCACTTAACTCTGTATCGGAGGCCCTGCTGAAGCTGCTCCTGTCCTGTGCTGCGGGCCCTCGCTTCCTACTACTTACCATGGGGCTGTACGCCTTGTTACTGGAAATGGTCCCAACAGCTGGAGTAGGTGGACCTGGTCGTAGCAGTGCCCATTACGCTCACCAGGACATCATTTGCTGATGATGGGTGTTGTGCTTCCTCTTCCGTATCTGGGTGATGGAAAAAAAGAGGCAAGTCTAATGTGGCCACCCACTAAGGGAGTTACCCCTTTAGCTCAGATGGCAGATGCTGAATGTCCTGCGCTCTGTGCTTGCTAACAACCCAGAGTAGAGGTCATTGCATTTGTAGGACCGGATCCCAGATGAAATCGTACATCCTACAGATGACCCGGACACAAGCATCAGATATCAGCCCAGTCACAAAATAGCAAAGGGATTTTATTTGAGAAGGATTTTTTTTTTTTTGCCTCCTTTCTAGCTTTCAGTGGGTCGTTGAGCATCAATATTATTCAGCGAAGTAGCCTGACAGCATCTTATTTAAACATAGGGTGTTTCACGACCGACTGTCAGCTGATTTTGGTGTGCATGCTTCTGTCGGTGTGTAGGCAAATGGGCAGGCGTGCTTCTATGGGGCTAGTCAGCCTTTTGTCTTAGCAGCGAGCAAGCGGATGGCTGATCGGGCACGTGGAGCTGGCATGTGCGATAGCGCACACCTGCCCGTCCTTGCTGATGGAAAAGTGAAGCCTGAATCCCTTTTTCTTGGATTGTGCACTGCTACACCCCAGCCCTGCTCAACCTCACTAGCTCTTCTTCTAAAGTAGCCAGCAAGCAATATGTTGGGCCAGAATAAGACCCTGGGCTGGGTTTTCCCAAGTATCTTTTGGAACCGGGAGCCTCGTTCCTAATCATTTTAACAGTAGCAGGATGTCCCGAAGCCTTTGGGCATCACAATATACCTGAGCCAGACTGGCAGGTGGGTAGTTTACTAGCATGAACAGGTGATGACCTGAAGAGCCAAGTACTGAGTTGCTATTTTCACTAATTT